TGCACTGTAAACAAACAAGTACATACATATAACACAAGAAATAATAATGATTATCATAAATATGTACATAAGTTAGAACTTTATAATAGCAAACCGTCTGTAGCAGGTTGTTTCTTCTATAACAAACTGCCTACCATAATAAAACAAATAATCAGTTTAAGATGGAATTGAAGGACTTTCTTATTAAGGGGTGTTACTATTCTCTAGATGACTATCTTAATGAAGAATTTTTGAATATTGGCTATGGATAATCTAATGTGTATAATGCTATATCTCCAATGGGATTATATCATAATCATTAATGTATTTTGATAATGTATAATATAGATTGACATATCCTATATCAATGTATTTTTTATCTACAGGAAATAAAGTATTATTATTATTATTATTATTAAGTTCATATGTTACAGATACTGTTATCTCTGTCTCCCAAAAGTTCAGGCATATTGCTACCACATTGTTCACATAAGTGCTGGCAAAACAATGGTAACTTGTCACTGCCTATCAGCAAACATTAGGAAAATGGATCTAAATTAATAAACCAATACATTGAAACATGAAGGAAATTAGGCATAGTTAGTTATTTCCATAAATTCTCCAATATAATATAATTGTGGCCACTTTTTGTGTTTAATACAAGTGATGCAAGAGAGACAAATACATTTTGTAGTGCTGCTAATAGATTTCCATTCCATATTTTGAGTTTCACATATAACAGAAAGGTAATATTTAATAATTTTTCTGTAAAATAACGAATTTTAAGTATTTTCATCAATGGTTACCGACCTTCTGCCATTCTGCGCAGTGTTGTGCCAGTATCACCATCACCACAGACACTGTCAAGTTCATTCAGTTTACATTCATTGGAAATCAAAGCTACTGAAATTGCTTCAAGACATCTTCTTAGTATATCACAGCCTCCTTCACTGATTACAGGACCTTGAAGCTTAAAAGAGTGAAAGAAAATAATTGTCATCCCATCTTTAGCACAGTAGTTAAATTTTAAATAAAAGATCTTACATGCATGTTAATTGGGTTTTATTATTATAAGTTACATAAAACCCTTTTGCAATCGTCTTTTCAGTTCCTATCCATCTTTGGTGTGACTGCTATGTAATTGTAACATTTTAAAATATAAAAGTGATTTATGCCTACTGCTGTTTCACAAAAGTACTAAACAACTTTCTTGTCTACAGGAATTATCAAAACCAAGTTTTTAATATTTTAATATTATGCTGATAGTACTACAGAGAGTTTCAAATATTTTGGTAGCATAAGTGTTGAATTATCATGTACAGCCCCAAATACTATTATTTTATTTTCAAGGGCTTTCAAGTCAGGAATTAATTTTTAATTTGGCAAGTAGGACTTGGCACAATATTTTACTCTCTGTTCATATGAACTAAATAGAATAATGTCTGTCTATGCTTCTGTTCACATTCCTTACTAACCTCATATTTTTCTGGATTATTTTTTGGGGGAGGAGGAGGAATATTCAACAGTGATTTTTCTGGTGGAATGGACATGGGAGATCCAGGCCAGGCACAAGCCTTGGTTTCAGCATCCAGATAATTCAACCACTCTGCCTTGTGTACCCCAGAAATATTTAATGCAGAGACCTGGATTCCAGCCATTTCTAACGAGGTCATAATACATGCAGCATATATACGCAGAACAGCAATGCCAAGACCAACTGGAACAAAGGATACATTCAAAATCACACAAATTGCATACTTTATATCAGTCTTGAATTATAGTTTTACCTTTTGTTTTGTATGGGCATCAAACTAGTCTGTAGCCCTAACAGTAGTACACTGATTAAGAGTAATTAAGAACAAAATGGTGCAAACATTTAGACCTAAACAAGAGTAATTAATGGGATGATGCAAAAAATTATATAATGAAGAATTTAACATATGTACGCTTCACCAAACATTGTTAATCGCTTACTCCATGACTCCACAGACCTTGTAGGAACTTGGCTGCCTCACACATTGGTTTCTTAAGCTATTTAGACATTTGGCAGAACTCCTTGAATAAGTGATTAGCCTGTCACAAGGCCTCTATGGCACAGGATAGCACAACACAGAAATACGAAGACAAACATCCATGTCTTGAGAGGAATTTAAACCCATGATCCCAGTATCTGAGTAATCAAGACCCATGCCCCCAGAAAGCACAGCCACTGTGACTAGCACCACACATTGTTGGGGTGATTAAATTAAGGACGATGAGCTGAATGGGACATGTAGTATATATGATGGAGATGACAAATGAATACAAATGTTATACACTTTCGTGTTTCATGAAAAACATGGAAATTTCCCAGCCAGCTGAATAACTAAACTTTTGAAGAAATATGCAGTACTATGTCATGAATATATTTTGCCTGTAATGGTAATCACATGACAAGCTGCTGGAAGTGGGAAATTAGGCAGAGAAAGCAGGAGGTCTGAGAATTCTTTGTGGTCTCACACAGCATAACATGAAACTAAATGTTCTTACATAACTATCATGAGAACACAATAGCAACAGCTAGAATCTGGGTATGAGTGACAGATATGCCACATCACACATTTTATTATATTTGTGATGATATAATAGTTATCAGTTTTGAAGAAAATTTTGGCTGCTGGGAGAGCCCCCATGTTATATAAGTGCTGAACATATTTATAAATTCTTACCAAACTGTTTATGTACTTCTCCAGTGACCACCCACTGTTCCAGTTGCGATGTACCACCCAAGTTGTTAATAAACACAACAACTTCATCTCCAGGTCTCAGTTTTAAAACTCCTATAATAGCTTCCAAAATTACTTTCACAGCTTCTGCTGCTGTACACATCTGAAACAAATTTGAGCAAATCTGACAAGAATAAATGTGTTGGAATCATCAGATGTTGCAGAAAGAAGAGAAAAGTCAAAACCACATATACTGACTATGGAGGAGAACTGAAGGAGTCCCCTCAATCATAAAAGTGATAATTAGTGAGTGAATATGAGATATAAAAGAAGGCCTCATAGCTAGACAATTTCAGAAGTGATTCTAAATCGATGATGAAATCAGAACTGTTTGGACATACATTGGTTTTCCTTCAAATATAAAATTATTTGAGGGCAAACCTAGCACTAATGTAGTTCAAAATGATACTAAATGTGTACATGAGGCCAGTTTTGCAGAGATCATCAAAATATGAAATTTCACTCCAAAAATTAAAAGTACTCATGTTACACAAAAATTAAATTAAAAAGAATAATAACTCACAGTATCAGTTGTCATATGCAAAAAGTGCTGCTTTAATGTACAACACACATCTCATGTACTAGATACCATTATGGATAATTGTTACATGCTGAATGAAAAAAGGTTAAAAGGTGAGGAAGATCCATTTTGTTGGTTTTGATGTAAACCAGAATACATTGTACTAACATTTATAACTATACCTTTACTCTTTTTATTCCAGCCTCTCCATGAACTCCAAGCCCAACTTCCATCTCATCTGATCCTATCTTGAACAATGGTCCACAACCTGATGATATAATAAGTCACTCTTAATTTATATTATGAAAGAAATATAGTGCATATATATTGCATTTGATATGCAGAAAATGCTGTTACAAAATTCTGTTTGTTTTAATGTTGACACTGCCTTTATTATTGAAAGTGACATTTCTTGTGGAGAAACAGTTTTAATTAGGATCGGGGGAGAAGGATGTAGGAACCTTTTCTGGAGATGCTGAAGGAAAACTGTACTTTCAGGGATTGTGGAGATTGACAGCAGTGGTTCCTTTTGGGAATCTTTTCTTTAAATATGTTTATAGGGAAGTTTGTGGTGACTGGATCAAATTAATAAATTGCTGTAATATTCATATAGGTAATACCTTTATTCATATGCACAAATTTGTAAGTCAGACTTCTCTAAACTGGTTACTTCCTGTACAGAACCCAAATAGCTACTCTGACAAAACACACAACATTACAAGAAATATAGTGTATACATGGAGGATATCCCACAGAAACTAGGCACTAAGATGCATCATACACCTGCTTTACTTTTCTCACTTTATATCTCAGGATAAAGTTTGGGCCCCTCATGGCCCATTAATAATATAAGATATAGTCACTCACAGCATGTCAGTTATCTGTTAATGATACTTGTGTATGAAAGAAAAATATGTTCTAATATTACAAAGTAAGAGCTGTTCATACAAGTCATTAGAGAGTATCTATACAGCGACTGCTAACCTGGTAGACTACATGCTGAAAGGCTCACACCAAAAGTTGCCAAAACCTCCAGAACCATTCGAACAGTGTGTACTATATCTGTCAAAGACTTTCCCTCCTCCGCCATTGCTCCAGCAATCTATGAACAAAAAGGTCAACTATAGTGACATGTATGTACATATAAAATGATTTACAGATGTACAAACTACCCTAGGAGGAACTGGCCAAACTTTGGGAGTTTAACAACCCCCAGTGCTAAAGAGATTTTTGAACAAAAATATTATATCATCATGTGCCTACTTATGGCAGTTTCAGTTATGATTATTTAAAGGAGTAACTGGTAGAAACATTTACTGTACAACTGCTTAATCTACAAAAGTGTTGACATTAGTGATTTGTTCTGTTTGAATTCCATTATTAACTACTTAACTACTTAAACATTAGTGCTTTTGCATGCTTGGTACTCAGATAGTGTATTAGTGGCAGCACTAATAGTAGTGGTATAATAAATTGAGCTAGAAAATGTATCAACAACAAAGGTACACAGTTTGAACATGCACTGTATACAAAATTTAAATTACTTTAGATACAAAAATCTTATGCATTATGGAGCATGCAGCATATTAATAGTTCAGACATTTATTGTAGATTTCACATTTCTTGTACAGTCAACAATTCTACCAATTACTCTTTATATCAATATTATATTGGACACTGTCTATTGTCTGAGATATATTTCATATACTGGTTCATAACCACTATAGTGTATGAATTTCTAGATTGCAAATAAAATATATTGAACTCGAGATGCAAGTTCCTTTTTGAACTGGAAAATTATACTAAAAGGAACAAATTGATTAAAAAAATACACCGAGAAAATGACTGATGGTCTAAGTGCACAAAAATGTGAATCAACATGAGGTACCTCTAGTCAGATTAAGTTGTATGTACAAGAAAAATAGAAACCAAAAAGTGGACTCATCATATTCAAATTCAGTGTATCACAAAGGCAGGAAGTAGGCACAAGAATTTCCCTATTACGTCTGTGTCTGTCGCAGAGAGGAATTACAACAACCATATACAGTTATAATGAGATTCCTTGTTGTGTTAGTGATATAATGCTTGTATTTTTGGTATTTTCATATCATAAACTTTTTACTGTAATTCATATTTCTTTATTCTGTACTTCAGTTCAGTATTTTCCCTAATGAAAATGTAATCATTTTCAAAACAAATTGTATGAATTTAATTTATAACTATAAATTTGGAGAATGATAGTGGGATACATCTGCATAACAATCAATATTTATGATTTAAGAATGCTTGGTTCTTGCAGGATTATTAAATTAGATACATTTCTGGTTTCAACTAAACCAATCCCATTAAAAACAATTTCAATGAAAAGGAAATAAAAGTGTTCTGCATGCTAACTTTCATCCAGAATATCTATATCTTATTTCTAAAAGTATAAACATATATTCAAGTTTGAAATAATCCTGCATAAACATTATTATAATGTTATTATTCTGTTATGACATGTTAAATGATTCCCTTTTCTCTGTAGCATGGCCCATGCTCAGGTTGCAGACTGATGGTGGCAATAAATATATTGAATAAACAGTTGTGGACAGCTGGTAAGGGGTATTCTTCCAGTTTGGTGGTTGGCTGTGGGGTTTACAGTCCGTTACCTTGAATATGAAGACCATACCACACATCCCTCTACGCCCAACAGAACTATCTTGTCTAAGGAGAGCACAATCTTCTCCAAGTACAATACTCTCAACCTGAAAATATAATCCATAAGTGAGAATAAGGAATGCTTTGAATGCAAGTCTCCAGAAATATGTTCAATCACTGATTATGCGCAATACAACATCTCAAAGACCAATGAATTCTTCTCGGGCTACTAGCCGTGTGAGGTTGTTTAATGGAGAAAACACCTCCATTAAACCAACTTACATGGCTGGTAGCCCGAGAAGAATTCATTATACTTGGTTGCCATGAAAGCTTCAGATCATACATTTCAAGGTCTGCTTGGACCACTGAAATCACATTTCACTACATACACAATAATATTAAATATTAATGTTTATTACATTGGGTCATTAATATCTTGAAAAATTAAGCACAATTTTGAATGGTAATGGTTAATTTAAAATTTACTGACCTTTAAACCTTCACTCTTGGCCCATTCAACTGCAAGACCAAAGTTAAGACAGTCTCCAGTGTAGTTAGGAATAAATACCAATGTTCCAGCTGAAGAAAAAAAAATGAAGTGTGTGATTACTGGTTCACAATTCATTGGAGTTCACTACAAGCTCAACATTTAACAGGTCATCACTGTAACATTTTTCATAAAATTGTCACATGTGAGCCCCTCTTGAAATTCAAACTCAATTTCTTCAGTTTAACATATTCTGATGGTGTTCTTAACATTATTCATCATCACCACCACCATCAGTTATCATCATCATCACAAATGAGCTCTTGGCCTGTTTCATTTACAAAGATTAAAACTGCTCTTTTTCACATTTTTTGGACATTTTTGATATATTCTGCCCTTTGGTTCACACTGATTCAGCAGCTTTGACATTTAATTTTCAGGCATCTTTTCCGAATGTTCTAGCCATTTATTACTGGATTAGTATCTTCCATAAACATACACAAGGCGGTAATCAATAGTCAAAGTTCTCAATTACTGGAAATCAAAAGCATGTATTGAATAATTATGTTGATCATGCTGCATAGCAATAAAGAACAAATAAAAAAAGGCAAATAAAAGTCATAAAGAAACTACTATGAATAACATACCCATAATTTAAAATAACGAATATAAAAAAAATAGAGCAATATTCCACACACACAAAGCAATACATTATACAGATACTAACTACTCAGAAACTACAAATTTTGTCTTTCAATAGTATCTTACTAGTATAAAAATCAGCAATATATATAAATATGAACAAGTACTCCTACAATATGCAACTTTCAGATTGTTGGTTGTATCCTGCCCAAAATACTGGTAGTACTTTCTGCTGTTCTCAGTACTCATCATCTAATCAACACAAATATCACATCAGTATAAAAGTTCAGAGGACACCAAATGTCTCTTTGTTCTGTTCAAAGGACCACCTCTTTTAGCCTTGCAAAACAAACGATGATCTACAGTTTAAGAGAAGTGTGTTAAGTTCCTACCATGAGACCATTCATCACTACTGAAAGTTGGTCTAATTATACAGCATAATTATTTTTGGTCAGTGACCCATTATTACATTTAAATCTAAAAAGATATCTGTTACATTAAAGGAAATGTCAGTACTTTGTTGTTGTAAATCGCATGGATAAAACACAATATTTAAATAACTGCCTGTAAAGTGGCATTCAGTACAAAAGAAAAGGTAGTGATGTTGTTAGAACTAGTCATTAGTCTAAAAATAATATTGCAGATAATATTTTTACCTTCATTGCCTTGAGCAATGCACTGGATGGCATGCAACACATTTCTAGCTGGGGGTGAAGCAAATACTGATCCTGCAACAGCAGCACTCAGCATCCCAGCCCCAACAAATCCTTCAAGATAAAGCACAAAAAGATGTGTGCAACATGTTTCATGCTCTTTATCATGTCTATCAAATATGTGATGGCAGTGGATACAACAAATATTTAAGTTCATTTCTGACAAGTGATTGTTGTCAGTGTGCAGGATATGAATAAATTAACATTAAGTAATTGTCAGTTATTCAGCAGATCAAAATATACCCGTTTAAATTAATTTGGAGGATCAACATCACTATAAAACCCTACCACTGGACTCTCTCGTGAGCCATTTCAATCCAGTTCATGTTCTCTTAACACTTTTTCTTACAATCCATCTTTGTATCTGCAAATATGTCAGAAGATTAAATTACCTTACCTTACCTCCAGCAAATGGTTCATGCCCAGATCCACCACCAGATAGAAGGGCCACTCTGTTCTTACTATCTGCACACTATAAGTATGAACATTAAAACACTAAAATATTAAGTTTTCATGGATTAAATGTGACAAAATCTTTTCAAGCAGTGAACCACACCAATGTGGAATACACATCCAAAGTGCCAATGCTATATCAGTCAGATTAACGAACTTTGATAATGTCATTCATATGCTCACCTGTTTTGTTAAGATGACTCGATTGTCAGCATGCAAAGAAAGGCCTGGATGAGCTCTAACAAGGCCATCTAACATCTCATCAACACAGTTTTCTGGCAAATTGATTAGCTTCTTACTCATTTTCTCTAATTAAATCTGAAATAATTCCAGGAAATAAAATGAAATGTAATTAACCAGATCAGCAATAAAAATTGTCCCAGTATGCCAAAGAACACTGAACAGTACCTCTACAATAATTAACCTTGGCATGAATTGGAGGTGAATGGGTAACTTCATTCTCTGGTAATTTCACCTCCAGAATAAGGAATTTTAATATCCAATGGGTACAAGGCTGCTTGGATCTAGACATGCGAAGAGAAATATCCCAGTCAGGAACTAAACCTTGGTTAAGAAGGATTTGAGGTTCACATGATAGTGAGTACAAAGCTGGCTGTGTTCTGCTTCCATCATCAGGGAAATGAGTGAGTGACCAGTGCCCTGATGATAGAGGCACAAGGACCTCTGAAACTTTTATAAATTTCTACCAGTATGCACAGTGCTACAACCCAGAAGACAGCCATCATTAAACCTTGGTTGTCCAGCCAATAGACAGTCATTTTACAGAAATGTCCCAGCTCATTATCAAATATCAGTATTAAAGTAAGGTTATCCTGTTGCTCAACTAAGTACCTTGACTCAGTCACTTTATCCCTGAGAAAAGAACCCCAGTACTAATTAGACAAGAGGCTGGGTGGATTCCAGATATGGTCTGGATATTGGGGTCAAAAAATAAACTGTGTACCAGGAAACAAAGCTTGGTTGTCCATGCCAGAGCACTCACTAGACTGACTGAGCTAATGAAAAAAACACCATTCACACAGTAGTGATAAGTGTATGGGTTTGAAACATCAATGCAAGCAGGAATAACTTAACATGCAGTAGGCCACACAGAATATTCAAACTCTCATTGATGGAAAGAATGGAAGGGAAGAAAGGCATAAGGCATAATTTTGCTAACTTATTCATTCTACACCAACAATAACAGAAGATAATTTTTAAGTTACTGATTCTTGTATGTACTTATTTACATTTTTCCACATGACTAGGTGATGTAGCACTTAATTTTACAATCTGCAAATTATTAACTGGAAAAGATTTGAATGTGACCATGGTCTGTTTTAACATATTATCACAGAATATACACAGAGGGTATAGGAAAATGACAAGAAACCTCAGGACATGCAGCTCCAAGGTTGAAATATAAATATGCAACATCCTAAATATGAAACAGGTGTGCTCACCTCTTGGCCATGAGGTCTGATAAGATTTTTTTTCTCATCAGAATATCTTATGTTAGTTCCATAGTTTAATTTCCATGCCTTTATGTAAAGTGGCCATTAAACTGTTCTATCAAAATGAAATTTAGATCTTGAATAATGCTGCTTTTTTGGTCTTCAGTAATCATTTAATACTTTTTTAAAAATGCTCTGTCTTGTTCTAGATTGTTAAAACCACAATATTGAACACAATGCACCTTCATTAGAGCCCCTAGAGAAAACTCAAATGATTCAATAAGTTTTCATAAAACAATCCAATATTAAATTTATATGTTTTTGAGCTCATTCATGCATACTTAGAAGATGATTATACTCTATACACCACATCAGCTGTACATGAACTCACTCACCTTACATTTCTCACAATGAAGTGATCCAGAATTAGGATTCTCACTTTTCATCAGGGAAGGACATAAGAATATCAGCAGACTGTCTATACTTAACTGTAGTTTCTCCACTGTTGGTTTCCTCCACATAATTTCCTCCTGCCCCTCCTCTCCTGTACTCCCAGTTTACCATACTATCCTTATTCAATGCTACATAACCTCATGTTGACAGAGGACCAGATATAAATCTACTACTCACCTTCATACTTTGAATAGAAAGAATGATACAACTGCACTTCAGCTCAGTAACTTATGTACATCACAGAACTTGTACCATAAAATACAGAAAATGAATAAATGGACCTAATATACACATGACCCTTGACATCAACAACAGATAAATATGACCTTCACAATCATTACTTCAGTGATATCATGCTGACAATCAATTGGTCCAGGTCCCTTCAGTAAATCTAGACTACATTTCTGTGATGCCAAATAAAAAACAGAAACATTATTCTTTTGCAAAAGGAATTTCTTTATGAAAAAAATTCATGGGATTGTTTAATGTGACATTTCACTGCTGTTTGACCAAATTCCATCAAACTACCAACCTCAACAACTTAAATTCCCTTGAGCTCCATGCTGATGTTATCTACCCATCTTCCTACCGTGCCTCAACCAAAACTGTATTTATTGTTGTCCACCTAATGGTGGATACATGTTCAGATTATGACTATATACTAAAATTGATTATAATTTCTAAAAGCATCAATTATTTTCTTTCTGTAACCCAACGTCACTATGTTTCAGAAACTAAATTACACTTCATACGAACTGTTGAACACTGGTATATAAATTTTGTCTGCTGCATTTGTCTTATAATGACAGTAACTTAAACTGTCATGCTGTTATAATGCAACTATTATGAAGTGTAGTCCATTTTCATGGACTACTGTGCTAAAGAACACGTTCCTGTGCCATGCCTAGACGTGATGCACCTTATTCATATATATCAAGCTTGAGACCCCTCATAACAATAAGGATAATTAATACTAACATTCAGAACTTGCATGTTTTATTTTACAGAAAACAATACAAAAGATCAATTACATAAATAAGAAATAACTAAATAATAACAAATAATTTTAAACACATTTTTTATTTTTGGAAAGCAGAAATGGTTATATTCTAAAACAGCAAATTATGAAGTTTGCCATGTCCCATTCACATAATAAATAGCTAAAGCAGGAAGCTTTCTTTCAACACTGTTGTACACAGTACTTCCTTTCTTCAAGACACCTCACTCCAGTACAAATTTTCAAATACTTCTCAATCTGGTCACAGTAACTGCAAGAGAAAGTAATAAGTATTACCAGACGGTGAAATTAAACTTACAAAGCCAAGGAAATTTTGTTCCATCCAAGACTATCACTGAATAAATGTGATCATCTTTCTAAGACATTAACACTTCATGTGGATCATCTATTGCAAAAAATACACAGTTTGCGGATGATAAGACGTAACTTGGGAATCTGATAGGAAATTTAATGTGAAGTAAAAATGTTCTTAAAAACATGGGCCCAGAAACGCTTCAAAAAAAAATGGACGTCAGTTTAGGAAGAGAAAAACCATAATTTTATTTTCTTTATTTATAAAAACTGTAAACTTAAAAACTTCAAATTGCAAAATTAAAAAGAAACTGTATCAGTTTTGTAAAAAGTAAATTAATTTAGTCATGCTGAGAATGTTCAAAATACCTCATACCTCTGCCCCATTTTGTTTCATCTGATTACATGCATCTTCAATACTGTTGATCAGTTCTTGCCTTGTTCTGGCTGGTCTTGCATACACTTCATCTTCTTAACATCCCCAAACATAAAACTGTAATTCAGTTGATGCAACTTGAGAACCACTGGACAGATTTGAAATGTAGGTTGTGCCATCCTGCGCAACCTCAAAATTGTACTTTTGAATATCCTATGATGATGATAAAATGACAGAGGAGGAAATTCATGACACAGACAATGACATGCTGCAATCTGGTGGCAAAATTGGGAAATATCAAACAAGGCATATTTATTACCACTAAATACATGATGCAAAGAACACAAGGATATTATAAGTATGAACCTAATGTCCCAGGCTGTGAACTGAGATTTTGCCATCTGGAAATACATGATCTGAGCCCTCAGTTATTCTCTGGGATGTTCCATTGCTTAGCAACAGTCACAACATATACTACTCTCGAACTCAAACTGGTAGACCAGAAACCTTCTGTTGCAGTGAAATAATAATATATGGTACATGATGTGACTGACCTGTATTTGAACTTATGTCAGTTTTCCTCTTGGTATTATGGATATTTAGGGACTGTAGGTAGCTCCTGTGGTTACCAGTGTTTGAATGTTTGCAATCCAGTATTTTTAAAGGAAACAATAAGGTCATTCAACTATTTCCGAAATCTATGTTGCAGTTAACAAATGTGCACATCAAAAAAAAATGGTTTTCCATCACTGGCTTGAACAACACTGTTATGGAGCGATGTACTGAGTGCTGAGTGACTCATTTTGTTTTATCTTGAAATTACACATGGCTACATTAGTCTAATGGATTTTAATGAAAGCACAAAATTAAATTTATGCATATTCTTGGAAATTTTCCTTCATCTATTAGTTAAAAAAACAATAATCGAAGCAAATCCAGCTTCCAAAATGATGTGATTTTTAAATCGACGAAGGAAAATGTGTGAAAGAATATGCATCAGTTTAACAGTTATAATGCGTTTGAAAATAAATTAGTATGGTATAAAAAAGATGTCTTTAGTATAATACACAATTTAGACAGACCCAAATTAATTATAACCAGATTTAGATTTCATAGAATTTGGGATGTTATAAAGGAAAATTTGCAGAGAGATCAGACTGTAATTTATAAGGGTGCAACTGGAGAGAAACTTGAAATTGATTACCTACTAATTATTCTCTTTCTTAAAGTGACAAGTTTCTACTTTATTTCAAAATTAGAGGAAACCTGTTTGGGTTAGTGACAAGTAAGATAACTCCATTACTAATTCAGGATTAAAGATGGTTGATATTTGAGAAATGGTCTAAATAATGGTTAGAGTTCTGCAACGACTTAGTATTTTGGTTAACTTACAAATACTAGATGTAATTTATTGGCTGAGGTTTCCTGAACAAGTTATTATTAAATCTAATTTATAATACAGTATTTACATGAATTTAAGCTATGAGTGCATATACAAGATAATTTATTGGTTGAGGTTTTCTGAACAACTTATTATTAATTAGAAGAAGATTGCCGTCTTCTGGGTTGTTATGCCGTGTAGTATGGCAGATGTCCACCAACGTTTCAGAGGTCATACTGCCTCCGTTATCAGGGCAATGAATGAGCCAATCGAGCGGAAAATGTTAGGTTTATAGGGGATAAGACAGTGAATGGTGTAGCCGAATCTTAGCCAATGGGAGCTGGGGTCAGATCAGTCGTGGATGGGGACCAATACGAGCGTGTGGGTGTCATGGGGTGTGTGAGACACTCCAGCACTGAAGCAGCAATAACGCACAGATAAAATTGTTCTTGAGCGTAACTAAGCACCACGCTTTGAACATGCATGAAAGCAGAGGTACAGCTTCATACATTCTTAACCTTGGTCATAAAAAGAAGTGAGTGGTCAGCTTCACACACTTTATTTACAAGAAAGAAGCCCTTGGTACCCACTGAACAGGAGGCTGGGTGAGCCCCAGAGTCATCTAGACACAGTAGTGGTGAGGAGAAAGATCCATCACCTTACCAGAAATTGAACTCTGGTTGCCTAGCACACAGCAAGTCACTTTACTGGATTATAATGAGATATAAATAAAACATACGTAATTTTTATTGTTACAAGTAAATGAAACTTTTCAAATAACAAAGGTCAATGCAGAATACAGTTAAGAATGGCTGTGAACTGCAGCACACTTCAATTTCATACAACTATAGCTTTAAGCACATTGTTAACCTTACAATTACATAGAGGGCACCTTCTAGCTTGTGTCCAAACCTTTAATGCACACTTATAACAGCAACATATATGACCTATTTTGCCGTGGACAAATATACCATTTTTTGGATTTGTCGTACATGTCATACACAAGTCAGAGTTACCATTGCTAGAGATACCAGATAATCCTTGTGAATCACTTTCACATTTAGATTCTGTTTGGTATGAAGATTCCAGACTTGATCCTAAACCACTATCCACACGAACATTTGAAGGTCCTGCAATGTCAACTGCACCACTGCGTACCACAATCTCATCAGGAATGTCCGATAAACCAACTGCAGGTGCAGTGGATGACTTCCTGACAGAGCTCAGTTTATTACGAGAATAAGAACATTTCCTTTTCCTCTTCTTTCTGCGTGGTCGTGGAGGGAAGAAATTCTTTCGAACCTGTAGATAAAATTACCCAGATAAAGACAATTGCAAATCTAAATCTAAAAGCTATTATCCCATACTGTGTTCACTGAAATGTATAAAATTTTCTCCTCACACAAGATGTCCTGAAGCCATACACAGGAGACAGACCAAACAAAAGAGACAGTTGAGTTATAAAAGTGGAATAAATGGTTCAATGAACAGATATACAGAATGAGTCAAAAGTATGTTTGGAAAATTTAAGGGTACATTCTGTGAACCAAAACAATAATAAAAAGTTTCTATGAACACGGGGTCAGAAATGCTTCCTTACCTAGATATTATAACTGAATGGAGAACACACATTCCTGTTACAAAGTGTTTATGATGTATTTAATTCACGATTTTGGAAGAGGTGTTCAAAATCCTCTCTCCACCTGCACACATGCCCCAGCACAACAAACAGTAGACTAACACACTCAAACATACCAGGGCTCATTTTAACTGTGTTATAAGCAACCCACACACACTGCCATAGTTCCTGCTATGTGTTAACTGGCATGGCATACACCAGGGACTTCAAGTGATCCCACAGGTAAAAGTCCAAGGGGTTCAGGTACAGTGTATGCTTGACTGAGATTAAAACTATTAATTTATCAAGTTTTAAAAGCTGTGGATCACAGAATTAGTTTAAAACCTGAAGTCCACCTGATAACTAAGGCTCTCCATCTACCTTGTGGGAAGACAGAAATAATTAAAGTAGCATGGGTGTCAAATAACTTAGGAAGAAGCAGCTTGTGGAGTGTTGTCAGCCTGCACTTCGTTTATGATACAAAAATAAGAGCTAAGTGTCATTATCAGTCTAATGTTGGATTATGGTATTAACAACAAATGATATGAAAGGAAGTCCACAGAAAAGGAAACTTTAACCACTTTCCTTGTTACCCCAAATTAACTTGGGGCTTATCCCAGGCTCTTTTGCTCCTAGCAATAATCTGAGTCTTTCTAGACCGAACTAGTTATCCGTAGTTCAATGACAGATACTGCCTCTAGCATAGATCTTTTGTACTTCTTTGTATTTATTTGTACATTGTACCTCTAACTTGTTGTTAATAACTTATGATCACAGGTACTCATGAAAATTAGATTTTCGTTTAATTTATTACTTTTTCGTATGTAAGACTTGAGGTTCTCACAGCGGTGAATATGAAGATTTCTGTCTTCTGGGTTATTGCGCTGTGTAGTCTGGTCGATGTTAACCAACGTTTCAGAGGTCATACTGCCTCCGTCATCAGGGCTTTTCAATTTTCATACCACATAAAATTCAATGATTCTTTTGGTATAAATACACACAATTAAACATGCTAATAATAATTAAGTTTTCAAAATATTTTGTATGTGAGACAGACAAAGCATCAGTCCTTAAAAACCCACGAGTCAGATAAGGGCCAATAACTAATCGTGCAAGACAGAATAGCTAATTTCACCGTTCTCATTACGAACTGCTGATAAAATGTAGTTGTGAACCAAATGGTCTTGTTAAATTCTGAATTCTCCACCCCAAGAACAACGAGCAAAGGTAAGGACACAACCATTACATATTTAGTACACAAAAACACACACTACTAATAGCAATATCATAATCTCAAATATACATAAAAAAGTCACATATTACTGAAGACAATGCTGCCTGTTTCTTTGATAGGACAGCTTCCGCTTTACTGAACTGTTAAACTCACCTTAAAACAAACCTCACAGAAGAGAAAGCAAGGAAACTTCTTAGAAATTTTGCACTGCATACATATCTGCCTCTGCCGATTCAGAATAAAACAAAAATATAGAGAGGCCAAGATTTTCACATCCCACAATCTGTTCTTCTTAGATTAAAATGAAATAATATAAAGATTTTATATACTGGCACAGAAAAGACTTCAAGAATCAAACTTGAATATTATTAACCAAAGATTCATATTTCTGATAATTTTTTAAATACGTTCACCATTACTCCTGAATAACAAAGCTTAACTACTGCTACTGGAAAGAACACAATATACAGTACAGTACAAAGAATCGAATTGTATAGATGGCCCTAGATATTATTCATTAATTTGTTTCTTAAAAATGTGTCAGATAAGAAAATAATGGATAAAGAGTAAATAACTTATATGTTATAGGGAAAATTTGTTTTACAGAAGTCATTTTCAGAGCTGTTAGTCTTCCATTGTTATCAAACCAAAAACATGTTTCTACCATCACAAAATTAAAATATGCCTAATATTTCCAAGAAATTAAGTACTTGACTCCCAAACATTTACTTACTGATTATATGTCCATACTGATGAGCGACTGACTTTCAGAGCTGTCACTTTACAAAATAAAAATTATTTCAGATTATTTCATTGTAGCGACCATATTAAGAACAGGTTTCATCACAGAACTGATAAAATTCAATGAAATAATTTGCAACTGAAGAAAATATTGCTGCTTCAGGGTCTCTGAATAATAATGATGTAACTTGGGCAGTAGATTGGAACAACTGATCATCAGTGTGGTTCACATACGAGGATTAAGAAAGACAGGAGAATTGCCACCAAATAAAGAGATATATGAAAAATAAATAGGAAAGTGCACTATCACAACTCAATAAACAGCTGAGATATGCATATAACTTCAAAGCGAGGAAATAGATGAGGCAAGGGGTTGGAAAAATGACTAGCAGATAATTATACTATGATAGGTCAGGAATTTAGAGACCTGTTCTCAGTCTACAGCTCCTTCACTTCTGTACTACCCAATTTACATACTACTATAATTAAAAGGAATTTTACCTTGTAACATTTCTCACAATATCGGAAAAGAGGATTATTGTTCCTATTCTTGCACTGCACACACGCCCAGTAATCACCTCGAGGTACCTCAGGATCAATGGTCAGCTGACAGTCTGAAATCTCTGAGCTATCAGCACACAGACTAAGTTCATCATTACAGAGCACCATCATGCCTGCTGCACACATTACATCCTGTTAGAGACAAAGAATGTACAGTGATTAAAATAATGAAATGGCCAATTTATTTTCAAATATCTTCATTCTACACATCCAGCTCCATACATTATGACAGAAAACCTTATTACTGACAGCAGAACCTAAATGTTCAACACAACTAATACTCCAGCCTGCCAAAATTCAGGATATTTATTTCTGAAGCTTGTCTGTATTCTCATTTGAATTTATTTGAACTTTAATTTATGGTGAATACCTAAAAACAAATTTGCAATGCAAACAGTAGTATATATAGCTGTCTGGTACACAGTCTATAATCAGACAATTCACAGTTTATAAAATAGCAGTGTTTTAAGAAAACACTGTATAGGTCAAGAGCTGAAAACTGTGATATAAATGTGACTGTAATGAGACAGAAAAACCATATCCAGCTTCTTCACCTCTACTCAAGCAATGCTGTCCACTGCCACCCACACTGTGTATGGGCAGCTTACAACGTTTCCATTACTGTCAATTAACACAAAGTCATGTTGCACATCACTGTACTCAAAACATAATGAAAGTTTGAGATATTACAATTTAAACAAACATATGGTATTACATTCTTCAACTACTTTAAACCAAAAATACGTAAATAAAACACATAACTTAAGAAATAACCAAGTAAAAATGAACATTATAATCAACTCCAACACTATCCAATGTGTAATAATATTAGCTATCACAACTTTAATTTTCATTCATTTTACATAAAAATTGGGCAGAAAGATAACCTAAAGAACAGTTTAAATAAAAGGAGCTGATGTTACCAGGTAATATAACGGCTATTGAAAACCTGGTATAACGAAGATTTTTTATTGTTACAACAGATGACAGCAATGTGTTCTGCAGTCTGCCTTTGTCTTTCAAATGCAAGGTGCGTGTTGGCGACTTTCCATTGTAGCATTCTCATCAGCATTGTAAATATGGTCAGGCTTCAAGTTATCTTCACTTTGGGAAATGTTCATTTAGACCAGGGGTCGTCAACCTGGTGCCTACCGCCCACTAGTGGGCGATTCAAGCTTTCATGGTGGGCGGTGGGGTTTTTTTGCCCGTTGTTACAAATTTTGTTCTTCCTCCATATATCGAATACATTGCTAACAACTTCGCGAGTTTGACTTTTTAAAATATGCTTTTGCAATTTACTTTTGAATTCCATCTCTAAACTTTGAATATAGATAATAATTCACCGGACGCTTCTCGAAGTATACTCGTGGACAAGGGAGCAATGAATGAGTTCCATAGCCAAAGGCACGAGTTTAGTGCGCATAACGAGGGCAGGGCTTACCACCGGCCATCACTCAGTCTTCGAGCTGTACCTCTTTCATGGTGGTGGGCGGCACCGGTGGGCGGTAAGGAAATTTTACCATCAACAAAGATACAAAAGTGGGCGGTAGGTATGAAAAGGTTGACGACCCCTCATTTAGACCTTCACAAAATAAACTCAGTGTACAAACTGCAAATCCATCTAGTTGAAAAACTGCTGTATTGCCTTTAACATAAAGTTTTAGCATGTTCAGATATTCTGTGAATTTCAAAATAAGCATTTTCCAGAATGGTGTATTTGGAAGGGACCTTGCTCTTTTCTTCACAGAACATAAAACTTTTCTAATGATGTTCATAAGTGTTCTGTGTTTGAATTAAAATACTACCAAATATCTCTTGTAAGAATAGCCAGATATTAATTGTAAGAATCAGCATATATACAAATGTGCATTTTTCACAAAAATTCAAACTTTCTACCACATTATACATTTGAAGGATGTTTCAGAACTGGAAGTACTCTACTCTAAAAATAAGCTTGTAATGAATTTTATTATTTATCTAAAAATTAGGTACAACTTACATCTGTATCAGAGGACAAGCTGCCATCACCAAGAGGGTTTTCTTGCTCTGAAAGACTTTTCACCTCATACTCTACATCCATAGTAACTTCATCAGTCCAATCTCTATGAGATGAGGTGTCACTCGTATCTTTGGCATAATCTGCACAAAGAATATTTGTGGAGGTATTCAAATCATTATAAACTACAAAAGGAATGAATAGCCATTATAAATTCAAAATAACAATGTGTATGATGGGACAATTAATGAACAGTTAAATGAAAAGAATATGGAAGGAAGCAGTCATGGTATAATTTAGGGTACTTTCATGAACACAGCTGTAATTTGTCATGGATGAACAGAAGACAACACTGTCCATGCCTTAAATGCTTTGAATGTCTAAAAGAAAGGAATCAGCATTTATCACCACCAGTTATTGAAATAAAAAATAATACACCAACCTGTCGCCTTCGCTTGAATACTATGAACACTTTCTTCATCTTCATCAGTCGGCTGTTCAGACTCCTCTTCTAACACAATATGAAAATTAAATCTCGGTACCTTCGCCCCAGTAACACTCTGTCCTACATAAACATAACAAAACACAGATTTAAACAACTTAACCACAGACGAAGTTTTGCATTACACAATGACTGTATGTGTCAACAAATAAGCTGCTTGATTCCAATGTGAATTGAGAGTTCAGCAGTGCTACTCTGCATTAACACCATAGTGCAGGGTCCTTCTGCAGAAGTCGATAGCCACTCACCTGATCAAGCAATTCTCTGCCTTTACAGAACCTGAAATTTGATTAGCATATTCACAATGCACCACCAGACCCCATCCTGAGCCACTTAGATCCAGATTAGATCACCATATCCCACTTTTTAAAAATTTATCTTAACTTCATCTGATCATCTATGCTTATACCTCGCAAGTCATCTCTTCTCTTCAGACTTTCACATTAAAATTTTGTATGTTTTTTCTAATCTCCCCATGTGTGAAACAAGCCATGCCCATAGCATTCCCCTTTATTTGACCACACTACTGGTGAAGGACACATCATTGAGAGTACCTCCAATTTCACTAGTACTCCACAAGAATTTACCTCAACCAAAAATACAGCTATTATAAATACATATAATAATGGTTATGCTTTCTCATGTAATTATTTCTGCAGTAATATCATAGTTGACTGACATAACTATGTAATTTATATTTTTATTAGAAGCAAGTCAGTTCACATCAGGCTTTCCTACTGAAACGTTATATGGATTGTAAGCATTTCACACCTACCTCATTCACATTATACATCCTATCCATTTCAAAATAAATGTTTAATACTCAATGTTCAATATTAGGTTATCTGTCTCAAACATTTAATTATAACAAAGAAAATGATCAGATTTAAATGACTCAGGAGTGGGCCCAATGAGAGGCTATCATGAAAACTTCATTCAATTCTATCAAATGCAGCAGCTACTTCCCTAACCAGATAAAAGACTCCCTTTTTTAAGGAACAACCTTTATTGTGAAGTTAGTCACTAGTTAGTGTTTGCTTCAAAAATAAACTGTTACTAATTAGATATTCAAATAAAACTACTTTACCATCAAAAGCGGCTGCTCCACTTCGTTTTAAGCTCATTATTTCAACTGTAAAATAAGCATATATCATAAACAGAATTTTTTTAAATTAAACTGCATAATACATTTCTGGATCTCAATTCAATGTATTATATCATGTAGACAGCTACAAACATTTCAGAGGAACACGCTGATGTAGTGTCATAGTCTTCATTTACTAGAATTCTCCAAAACTTTACCTGTTATCCTACCATTTCAAGAGCCATTCCATATACATGACTTCTCTGTGGGAATAAGTTTCACCATTACTCAACCAAATACACTGTGCCAATCTAATCAAAGTAATATCAATTACGAAACACCTATGGAATAGAAATCAATTATCTTACTCGCTATCATTGCATCTCTCACCTCTTGTTTCACGATTTTACACCTAAAACAATCCACACCCGCAACTAAACTAACAGTTCCAACCACCAATACAAGTCCTACCAAGTTCGAACATGTCTCAGCTTGTTACCTCGTTACGCGTGTCGAAAGTATCGATTACACTAAGTACGTATTAACCGTTACCACGGAATGTGCATTCCGATGTTCAACTGTGAACAAAATATTGGCCACATATAAGACATGGCATTACTCTAGTGCCATCATTGAACAGGCATTCCTAAACACCAGTGATAAGGGCTGAGGGAGCAGAAGCCCAATCGATTTTAAAAAGTTTTGACTATGGTGTAAAACCCTTCTGATTGTAGTTCAGTTGATAGAACGATTTGCAAAACATGATCACCTTTTTTTATATCCTAGTTATTCCTCTGTGCATGTACGTATATTATGCTCTACATTTCTTTAAAAAGCACGGATTGTAAATTGTGGTCAGTTTAATTGCGAATGATGAGTAAATATTGCTGATATTGCATAAAAGAACTCTCTCCGAACATGAAAGGACATTTCTAAGAATGTAACCACAGATTACCACCTGATGGTTTAATGAATGAAAACACACCAAGGAATATTTCATCACAGAGGGCACTAAGATTTAATTTTGCGTTTCGATAACAATTAATAGCAGTTGTTAAGTTCAGTTGTTCCATAAATAGTTTGTGATACACACAATTGCACTTTCTAGGATACACAGAAAAATATGTCGAATTACCGGGTAAATATAATTTAATTTGTAGTAACTGTGTATTTACTTTGTGATATATTTTGTCACTGTGGCATTAAATACATGTGCTCATTTCTGTTGGTTAAGATGTAATTGTTTATAATTGCAGCAAATTGATTCGAAAAGAGAAGAGTTCAGGAAATATTTGGAACGAGCTGGTGTTATGGATGCTCTGACTAAAGTACTGGTTAGTTTGTATGAAGAAACTGAGAAGCCAGATGACGCCTTAGAGTATCCTTCAGTGCTTTACAATTGTATTATAATTACTCAACAACTCTCTTGCAGTGCATATTATTGGTTAATAGGTGAAGGGTTGATACTAATTACATAAAGCCAAATGATGATGGGTGTTTTGCATTGTATAATACAGCATTGAAATCCATAATTGCTTTCTCATGTTAAATTTGTGTAGCTAATATTGCATGCAGATTTCCATATAGTTGTCTTTCAGATGCAGGAATTAAGTTCCAGTATACACTAATTAATATTGTATGAAGAAGTTGGCAGTTATTGGTTTCTGTGTTGGCAATATTGATCTACAACACCCAGAGAGACAAAGCACCAGAGACAACTTTACTCTTTTCTGTTGAAAAAATAACATAGTTTAATTATCAATGTACTGTGGTTAACAGTCAAAAGTCTTAGCAAGATCATGGATAATTTCAGATTGTTAGATTTTTTTTATCGCACATTCATCAGCATTGGCTAGATTCCATTTATAACTGTTATTTCCTGAGTCACACCTGTCTGGGTTTTACTATTGAATAGGAAACAATAATTTAAATAAACATCTGTGCAATTAAAAGTTTATGCCATTCCCTTTAACACCATATTCAGGATACAATCCATATTATGAATAAATATTGTCTATATGTATGAACAACAATATTCATAATACTTGATTAATGGGTTGCTGGCTCAGAACAGGCATGTAATAGTGGATCATATATCAAAATTAAATCCGTGGCGTAACAGCTCCAGAGAGCCAAAGCCGTCTAGCTTGACTGCTGGCCTCACGTTCACATGCCTAAGCAGAGGTGAACGATCATCCAACCAGATATTTTAAATTAATTACATTTTCTAAGGATTTGTAAGCTATATTTATATTGTGATTCTATCCTGCATTTTAGTGATGAGATATAAATATATTCCTGAGTTTTCTGAATTTATATCTAGGACCTAAGGAAAACTGTTAATGTATCAGGTTTAGCCATTGAAGTTTGTATTTTAGATGCTTTAGGATATGAAAGTTAGTACTCTAAATGTTTTGAAGTTTATATCATGAGTTCCTTGATGCTGGTACAGTTACGTTCGCAAACATTTGGCTGGTGGTGGCCCTGATGTGGAGGATTTAGGATCAGTGAAAGCTGAGCTGGATATTAGTAAAGTTAAAGTAGAAGAATTAGAACAAGAAAATTCTGTGCTTAAGAATAAGTTGTTACAATTTGAAGGACCAGTTGATGAAAACACCTCAAGTGAAGCAGCACAGGCAGTAGACAGTACTCCATTAGACTCTAAAGAGGGAGTTAAACAAGCTGTGGCCCCAGATCAGGCAGACTGAACACAAAGGTAAAGTATGGTTGCAAGAATTTCATTGTGCCAGAGGAATTCCAGTATAAAATGGCTAGATGAATCATGCAACTGGATATATTTATTTACAGAATATTTACTTTCTAATAATGTTTTAAGCAGCTTTTTGAAGTAAATATTATTTTATGTACTAGGTAGGAATATCTATAAACATTTGATGGTATAATACTAGAAATGTTTTGTTTTACATATTTATTGCATATTTTGTGTTCAATGTATAGCACAATAAGGAAGTTCAATGTAACGAAATGGTAGATTCTGTATTTTGGGGGTTGTGACTGTTGAAGCATATTTCATGAAATTAATTAGACATGATTTTTTGTCCAGTTAGCTGTTACACAACTAAAGAGAATGATGTTTGATGTGGAAATATTCTTATACCAATATTTACATGGATATATGAGTTGTGTTATGGGTGCCAGATGTTGTTTGTGGGGGTGCAATGATCCTTTGTAACGATTGCTACAAACTGATATAAGCTGTGCTATGTGACTGTTTCTTGCGTCAGTGCACAGCAAAGGAAAGGCAAACAGCACTTACTAAGTGCAAGTTCCACTATAAAAATAATTCTGTCGAGCTTTAAAACCCTTCCTCCATACTGCTTCACCAACAATTTAAGTCATTTTTTACATGTATTTTTGTGTTAATTTATAATGTTGGAACACTGTCTAACTCCATTTTTCCGTTTTAGAACAAGAAAATAACATGGACAGTTAGCAGCTGAATATCATCATTAGTACCTTGACTATGGCCTCAACTTGCAGGAGTAAAATACGGGTACAAAGTGCCATCAGTGGAAGTGTTGCATAGGACTACTTTTCATCAGTTTATACAGTTAAAAGCTTGCCATACTGTGTAAGATACAGGTTTATTGCAGTAGATTGATGGACACAGTGTTCAGTCTTGTATTTAATGCTGTTTCTCCTGTCCCTTTAAGAGAATCTGTCCAGTTTAGACATATGTAAGACCAATATTTTTGTCACAGAATGTTAAGAGTTGTTCATAACGTCAAAGTGAATTTAACATGTTATATATAAATATTTATTTCTTAGGGTTTGTTTTGTACTTCTGGAGAAACCCATGAGTACACTTGTTTTCTGCCTGATGTAATGTGCCTTCGTGTTTCATTGTATTTATTTTCCCTTACATAAGTGAAGTATAAATTTGTGGGTATGTTTGCAAAGTGTGTTAAGTCAACAATGAAAACTTAGTTATCCATGGAACCTGATACAGAAAAAAATGCTTTATGCATGTGTAAAGCATGTTGTGTCATGTTTAAAGTTTTGCAGAAGTTATCTCATAGTGTATTTTACTCTAATTGACAATGACAGGTTTTAAGGGTGCACAGTGTGTTATGAAGCTTTACAATTCCCTGTCTAATGACTTCCCACACACTTTGCATACTCATACACAAATTTATATTTACATTCCAGTTTAAAAATCATGAATAAGAAGACTTGAACTTTGCTTTATTTTTTATATAATAAGCAGTTGACATAGCAATGAAAACGCAGGTAAGCTGGCCATAACAATTCATAATATAGAATTGGAGAAGTACATGACTCTAGAATTAGAACTTTTCCATTAGCAGATTAAATGTAGATATTTTAACAAGAAAATATATTTTCTCCAGAATAACAGCACTGCAGTGTATTAGTCATGTTAGCTAACACCAACACAAAAAAATACTGCCTCATAAGAAAAATCTTTCCAGGTGCACTATAAATGAGTGTGTGTGTGTGTGCTGCTGAAAAGTGGCCAAAAATATTTAAATAAAGGGCTAAATTCGTCCATAAAGTTAATTTTAAAGCTTATTATTAAGTTGAAAGTTTTGAGGACGAGGATTTAGCAGCTTGTCGCTTCTTGACATCCCAGTTATACACGCGTGCCATATTGACCTCTGTGGTTGTAAACTGGTCTCTGAAAAATAAACATTGGTCATTTGTGAAGTATGAATTTCAGACTTTATGGGAAAAATGGGGTTATGGTTGGTGTTCCTGGCTGAAAGTTGTCAGGATGATCAAACACAAAGGCAAGAATACACCCTAAAAAATGTGGAAAGTACAGGTAGCCCTCAATTTACGCCGGGGATGTGTTCCTGGACGAACCGGCGTAAATTGAAATTTTTATAATGTAAATCAATGGGAAGTCAATGACATGCGTTCCCAGCACCCAAACATTGATGAGTAATATAATGGCATTACATTTAAAGCTCTGAAATAACGTAAATAAAATAAAGGGAATTTAAAAAATATATTTTATACACTTACAATAGGCAAGTCGTTGGTCCCGCGATTCTTTCATGTGATGTGTACAGTCATCTCTGCTGTTATGCGATAGTTGCATTCATGAAAGACACCGACCTATAGAAAATCGCATAGTAAAAATAATCCGGTATCTCCGCAGAGATTAAATTAGTCCTTTGAAAGTTTAAAGCACCAGGAATGAAATTTCATAAGAGCAAACTCGCATATGCAAAAGTTTGCATTTCACAAACAGCTTTTACCGATTCATCGATCTCATTGGAGCAAATTTGCATTAACGAAACATGTAATTGCAGAGATGACTGTATTTATAATTTTTATTCAAAATTAGCGATGTAAGAATTATGATTTAGTATAAGAATCAGTAAGAAATACATAGTAAAATGTTATAAATAATAGTAATATTTTTTTTTTTTTTACTTTTTGACTTTCTGGTTTAAAAATCGGCGTTATTCTGAATTGGCGCAAATCGAGGGCTACCTGTACATTCATTGGTGTACCTCCTGTGACAGAGAGGTGTATTTGGGCTGTTTGTATTACTTCATGCACAAGAATGAGGGACCTACACTGATGTACAAGTATTACCATAATTTTTTTGCAAATATGATGAACCATGATGCACAAACCTGTGAACAAGGTGGGTCTGCTGTATTAATCCAGGCAGCTGAAACCCCGCAACTTTTGATTGGAACTGGCGAATATCCTATAATTTTACATGTCCACAATACCCAATATCTTGGACACCCCTTTATCCTGGAACTTGAACACCCCTTTTGTTATAAGTTGGACAGGTTCATGCACTTAGCTTCAATGCTTTCCAGCGAAACTTTTTCAGTTACATATTTTGTTATTTTGAATTTATGACTGATGAATGACTCCTCTCTGGAGGATTATCTTATGGACATTGAACCCATCATTGGAACGCATTGCAAGTGTTTATCTATTCTTTTGCTGAACCCTTAACTGGACTACAGTATTGCAGAAGACACAGCTTTAACTCCATCAGCACTGTGCTTGCATTTGAGTTCAGATTGTGTTAAAAGAAATGGAATTTTTCTTTTTGCGATGGGGAAGCGAAAATTGGTGGAATAAATTTTAGAAAATGTTATTGAGGCTGGGGTGTAATTTGCAATGCATGGGAGTGTGCTCCAAAAGATTATTATTAATACTATTGTCATTAATTCTTAATTAAAGTAAGCCTACAGTAGTCAGTGTATGTAAGTAAATAGATTATATTGTCATTAGATGACAATATGATTTTTTCTGAATGATCCACTGCTCACATGATACATACATAGAAACACAATGAAATGGATGTGATTTAAACCAACATAGTATGAGACTATTAGCTGGATTTTAATTTCAGTTTTAGTGGTTTACCAGGTAGTATGTTGGTGTGAGGCAAGGCCCACTGGACTACAAATAAGCCATGATGCATGGACAATAAATATGAAATGTAACGTTTAACTTACTGAGTTAAATGCAATTTAAAAGCCCAACATGTGGGTATCTAGGAAGAAAGTGTAATGACTTGCCTCAAAAAGTCCAAGTCATGTTCTACATAACCCAAGTTTTTCTTCGCTGTGTCTATATTCTTCACTAAAAGATTAGTAGCATCTTCTAATGTATATTCGAGCATGACATTAGCCTGTAACACAAAAAAAATACATCAGTGTTAAAATAATTGAAGATGAAATTAGCCAATGTGAGGGCCCATGTGTGAAAATCTGAGTCTTATAGAATTGTGAAACACCACTTCTTATTCTGAGGGAAGAACATGGATCAGTCCTCTTCACCTAATACTGTCAGGGTGATTAAATCAAAGATGGCAACTTGGATGAGACATGCACCTCTCATGGGAGAGTTGAAAAATGCATACTTTTTTTAACAAGATGGACTGAGGCTACTAAGCAGTTACAGGCACAAAGAGGAGGATTAGAAAAGTAGGGTTTAAGACTGAACTAGATTCAACTGCTAAGCACAGGGTTCAGTGGTTGGCTCTTGTATACACAGTAGCAAACCTTCAGATTTTCAAAGACTCTACTGCATGGAATTAGTCATGAATATAAGCTTCCCCTTGTGTCACTATGGCAACTTTCTTACAAATAATATTTTTTTCATGGTGGACTGAAGTAAATCTTGAAAGATAAGTATTGGTTTAGGATTTTGTTTTGGGGGGAAAATGACTCCCATTCAACCCACATTTCTACAGGAGTTACATATTCATATTTTAATAACAATTTTTGACTTCCTATCACAATATTAAATCACGCAATAGATTCCATGGATTCAGTTGAAATTTATACTTACTCCAAGCCACAAGCACACTTTGTCTGTTGGGGGAACCAACGCTTTGAAATATACTTGCTCACTCAGCAGAAACTCAGTTTCAATCTCCTTTGGATTATCACGTTGCTGCTGTAACAGCTTGATCATATCCAGAGAGTTTTCCAAGTCTGGGATCTGATTCTTCAACCTTCAGTAAATAGAAATAAAAGTTAATATTTCTGTATGAAAACTGCAACCTATATATACAAATTGCATAGTCCATATAACAAACTGATTGATTACACTTGCTACCTCCTATGTCAGAGGTCTACAAATTCAGATATAAGCACACACACAATATAGCCTCCATACAGTTGATCGGTTAGAAGTGGCAATGCATCTGCCTCTCATTTGGGAAGATTGCAGTTCAAATCACAGCTGGAGCATGAACTTACTGAATGATTATAGTTTAGATGCGTCATGTTTGTGTTTTCAATTCATACATATATTTATTCTTCAAGTCTATACACAAACTATATTAATATTGATGTTAAAAATTAAAATTGACATAAATATTTTGCGCTATTCATCGAAACATGTTGTAATATATAGCGCAAATTGTAACATCGAGGAAACGATGAATAGCGCGAAATATTTATATCAATTTTAATTTTTAACATCAATATTAATATAGTTTGTGTATAGACTTGAAGAATAAATATTACTGAATGATATTTTTACTCTCTTTCCTCAGTTCCTCTAACAAATGCTTAGTAACTTAAATAGATCTGATATATGGGGCATATCTGTTAGTATGTAACAGAATTTTTATTAAACTAGACAATGACTCTGCTTTGATACTAGTTTCAATCTGATACCAACACAAGTGGGACAATTTTTTTACCGTCGTCTCTTTGAAGCAAGACTGTATTCCATAAACTTATACTTGCTATGTTGTTCATCCAGTCTTCTAAGAACTTTATCTGCATCACCACCATTTTCTTCTAAATCCATAAATTTGTCAACATCATCCTGGAAAATATCAGAAAGTTCAGATATGTATACAAAATATATTAATTATTCCATGTATAACTGATTCACAGAATAGGATTTGAGGTTTTCATGGTGGTGAGTAAATAGATGACTGTCTGGTAAAAGTTTACCAATGTTTCAGAGGTCCTTGCTGCCTCCATCAGCAGGGACCTGATAATGGAGGCAGCAGATCCACAGAATTTCATCTAATGGGAAGTAAATAAAAATTAATAACTTATTGGTTACATATGCATATAGTGTTTATTAACACTTAATTGAGGAATGGCATAACTTTTTATGCACAATAAATGTATATTCTGAATGTAATGTACGTTACTCTTGATTCGACTTACATAGGTTATAAGGGATGCATTCATGAAACTAGGTCTACACAAACATATATTTTAAAACACACAAAAATGGGATCAAGCCCACATTACATACGCCCCATTTAACAAAAATTTATTACCAAGTTATATGTATGTATTCCAATTTTAAAAGGTGAAATATTTATACGAGGTGCACCAAATCTAAACAGATTTCCGGTTAATGAAATACGTAATCTCGACCAGCGATTCAATTAAATAGCCAACATAATAATAGGTGATAAAGTTGCACCGCAATAAAACATATTATTACTTACAACAAAAGCAGCC